AGGGGGGATGCCACACAGTGGTAAAAATGGACTTGTCCCAACTTTTTTGGGATTTGTTGACGCCATGAAATTTGGAAACAACAGATTTTTCCCTTAAAATGATACATTCTCTCAGTTTAAACTTTTGATCTGTGATTTGTGTTCTATTCTGAATAAAATATTAGATGTTGGCACCTCCACATCATTGCATTCAGTTTTTATTCACAATTTCTTTAGTGTCCCAACTTTTTTGGAATCCGGTTTGTATACAACAATCAAACCATGAAGTTTACAGGCGACAAGTAGAAACTGGTTTGAACAGGAGTAAAAACATTTAAAGGTTTTGTCTTTTCCTCACCTCCACATCAGTTCGTCTCTTCTGAAACTCCAGTAGTTCTACGAAACTAAACCTGTCACTTATAAAATCTTACAGATGAATGTTTTTTGTTTCTTTTCAGATCTGGAGACCGGTGACGGCCACCTTTTATTTCCCCATCACTCCCAACACTGGATTTCTGTACCTGGTTAACCTTTATTTCCTCTACCATTATTCCACCCGGCTGGAGACAGGTGAGACTCTGCTCATGTAATTTAAACGTCATCATGTGAACAAAAATCTTTAGTTTTGAGTTATGCTCATTTTTATCTTGGTATGTTCATTCTTCAGGGGCGTTCGATGGCAGAACTGCAGATTATGTCTTTATGCTTTTCTTCAACTGGATCTGCATCGTTGTATCCTTTGACCCCCGTCCTGAAATACCTCTTGTTAAGAGAGGGAATCACCACTCGTACAGGAATTACTGGCAATGTTTAATTATTTTTAATTTAGATCATTTAAATTTAGCATGACAAAAACATTATTTTTTAATTCCAAACTTCTGCCATTAAGAAACATCCATTCATCCATCCATCCATTTTCTTCCGCTTATCCGGGGTCGGGTCGTGGGGGTAGCAGCCTAAGTAGGGAGGCCCAGACTTCCCTCTCCCCAGCCACTTGGGCCAGCTTTTCCGGGGGAATCCCGAGGCGTTCCCAGGCCAGCCGAGAAACATAGTCCCTCCAGCGTGTCCTGGTTCTTCCTCTGGGCCTCCTTCCGGTGGGACGTGTCCGGAACACCTCCCCAGGGAGGCGTCCAGGAGGCATCCTAAACAGATGCCCAAGTCACCTCAACTGGCTCCTCTCGACGTGGAGAAGCAGCGGCTCTACTCTGAGTCCCTCCCGGATGATCGAGCTTCTCACCCTATCTCTAAGGGAGAGCCCAGACACCCTGCAGAGAAAACTAATTTCGGCCGCTTGTATCCGAGATCTTGTTCTTTCGGTCACAACCCAAAGCTCGTGACCATAGATGAGGGTAGGAACGTAGATCGATCGGTAAATTGAGAGCTTCGCCTTTTGACTCAGCTCTCTCTTCACCACGACAGACCTGTACAGCGCCTGCTTCAATGCAGACGCTGCACCTATCCGCCTATCGATCTCTCGCTCCATTTTTCCCTCATTCGTGAACAAGACCCCAAGATACTTGAACTCCTCCACTTGGGGTAGGACCTCCTCCCTGACCCGGAGAGGGCACTCTACCCTTTTCCGGCTCAAGACCATGGCCTCGGATTTGGAGGAACTGATCTTCATCCCGGTTGCGTCACATTCGGCTGCGAACCGCTCCAGCAAAAGCTGTAGATCACGATCTGATGAAGCCAATAGCAGCTCCGGTAAGCCGCCTCTAAAATAGAGGCACGAAACATGGTCCACTCAGACTCAATGTCCCCCACCTCCCTCGGAACATGTTCGAAGTTCTCCCGGAGGGGTGTTAAAACTCCGTCTCACAGGAGACTCTGCCAGACGTTCCCAGCAAACCCTCACAATACGTTTGGGTCTGCCAGGTCTGACCGGCATCCTCCCCCACCATCGGAGCCAACTCACCACCAGGTAGTGATCAGTGGACAGCTCCGCCCCTCTCTTCACACGAGTGTCCAAGACGTGGCCGCAGATCAGATGAGACGATGACAAAGTCGATCATCGAACTGCGGCCTAGGGTGTCCTGGTGCCAAGAGCACATATGGACACCCTTATGCTTGAACAAGGTGTTCGTTATTGACAATCCATGACGAGCACAGAAGTCCAACAACAGAACACCACTCTGGTCCAGATCAGGGGGGCCGTTCCTCCCAACCACACCCCGCCAGGTCTCACTGTCATTGCCCACATGAGCATTGAAGTCCCCCAGCAGAACAAGGGAGTCCCCAGGAGGTGCACTTTCCAGTACCCGTCCCCAGGAGGTGCACTTTCCAGTACCCCATCCAAGGACTCCAGAAAGGGTGGATAATCTGAACTGCCGTTTGGTGCATAAGCACAAACGACAGTCAGAACCCGTCCCCCCACACATAGGCGGAGGGAGGCCACCCTCTCATTCACCGGGGTGAACCCCAACACACAGGCACCACGTTGAGGGGCAATAAGTATGCCCACTCCTGCTCGGCGCCTCTCACCAGGGGCAACTCCAGAGTGGAAAAGTGTCCAGCCCCTCTCAAGGAAACTGGTTCCAGAGCCAGAGCCATGCGTAGAGGTGAGTCCGACTATTTCTAGCCAGAACCTCTCAGCCTCACACACCAGCTCAGGCTCCTTCCCCACCAGTGAGGTGACATTCCACGTCCCAATAGCCAGCTTCTGTAGCCGAGGATCAGACCGCCAGGGTCCCCGCCCTCGGCCACCACCCATCCCACATTGCACCCGACCCCTTTGGCCCCTCCCACAGGTGTTGAGCCCATGGGAAGGGGGACCCACGTCTCCTCTTCGGGCTGTGCCCGGCCGAGCTCCATGGGTAAAAGCCCGGCCACAAGGCGCTCGCCCGCGTGCCCCACCTCCAGGCCTGGCTCCAGAGTGGGGCCCCGGTGACCTACGTCCGGGCAAGGGAACATTAGATCCGTTTATTTCTCTCATCATCGGGGTCTTTGGGCTGCACTTTGTCTGGTCCCTCACCTAGGACCTGTCTGCCATGGGTGACCCTACTAGGAGCATAGCTCCTAGGATCATTGGGACACTCAAACCCCTCCACCACGGTAAGGTGGCAGCCCAGGGAGGGGCTGAAACGATAATAAAGAAATATAACTTTAGTCAATCACAATCTAAGTAAAATATGGAATCACTGTAATATTTAGTATTAAAACAAACACTTCTAATTGGAATAAATCTGCTGTTTAGTCTTCAGTTACAAAGAGAGCTCACGGCTCCAACACCAAAGATGTTCGTTGAATCAAACGGGAGGATTATCAAACTTTTTTTAGACGGTAAATCACAGCAAGTTGTTCTCAGCCAGCTGTGTATAACATCTGGACCAAGTCCAAACAAAATGAGAAGCTTGTTAAAGGGAAGTAAGCTGGTCAACCAAGGAAGACATTAAAGCATAAAAAAAAAAAAAAACTTAAAGCTAAATGTCTTGAAAACAAAAAAATGAACAAAACTTGTAAACAAGTGCAGAAACTGAAGTCCATGTCTGTGATCACGCTGTAAGAAATCATCTTATAAAATGGGATTTAAAGAGGGAAAAGTCAAAGGAAAGTCATCATTTACACCCAAACAGAAATTCAAAGGATGACTTGAGAAAACGAGTAATTTCCAGTTACTGATGATCTGGGCCTGCATGTCAGCTGCAGACACGAGGGGTGACGGCAGTCGTCACACCGTCAATAAATACCAAAGTCTACATTTAGAATGTGGACATTTTTCTTAGTCCATCAGTGGAAACAGTGCAGAGTGACGATGACTTCAGTTTTTAGGATGATAATGTATCTGGGCAAAAGACGTGAAAACTTTCCTTGAAGAAAGACACGGTGTCTGGATCTGGATTCAGCTCAAACTCTGGTGGTCGATGACGAGGCTCCAGCCTGCAGGGCTGATCTGGGAACAGCAATAAGAGACCGTCGGAGGCAGATTGATGAAGAGTGCTGTTTGTCGCTCTTTAGGGCCATGCCTCAGAGAATTCCAGCGGTTAGAAGAGCCAGAGGTGGTGAATCAAAGTACTGTAGTGTTTTTCTCCTGATTCTACTTCGTTAATAAATTTTTAAAAAATCAGCTGCAATTTTACCTCGATGCCAGAAGGATTGAGTTTTTGAAAAATGATAATTTTGTGGCGTGTCTGATTTATTTTTATTCAGAATTAAACAAATGAAACAACGTCCTCCATTAGAGGCGATTTAATCGTTTAGCTTGTTTGTAAAAGGTATTGAGCCTTAAATGATCAGCTGTAATGGTTTTACGTTGAAGTGTTTCTTGGTTCATCTGGTGCAACACTGGTGCCCCTTCCTTCTCTCTGCAGTAGTGGCTCTGCACCAGCGGCCCGGTGTCGGTCTACTCCTGCAGAGTAGAAACCTAATCTAGGTCACACGCAGCACCAGCACAGTCCAGCCCACATCTCAGCTCTGTCTCAGCTTTGTCAGTTCAGCTCCAATTGTCATCTTTTGGAGGGTTTTCATGGATATTTCTTGGCCTAAAGAAAAAATGAATCAACATTTTCGATATAAAGCATTCAGTTTTCACCACGTCAGGTTAAATTACAAAACAAAAAGGTGTTCAAAGTGTAATCTGTCAAAATACTGTAGAGTGGAAAAGGCAGCTCTGAGGTCACGTCAGAGCTGAAGCAGGGATCTGAGCACGGCCAGCTGCTGCAGGTAAGACACATTCCAGCTTGTTGTCCTCAACTCTGTCTGCAGATAACTGGGCTGCTGATGGACATGCAGGTAAGAAACTCCTCTGCTCTCAAGCGCTGGGACCACTTCATTAAAGATCGTAAACTGTTCTCCCAAGTTAACTTTTGGACAAGAAGAACAAAATGTGACACTGACTCTGTTTCTTGAACGGTTTCAGTTGCTGATGATCCCGTTGGTTATGTCGGTTTTGTACGTCTGGGCTCAGTTCAACAAAGACACGATCGTGGCCTTCTGGTTTGGAACACGTTTCAAGGTATTGACGTCAAACCTCGTTATCCGTTTTGATAATGGACACATCAAAACACCGAAAGATGTTGATTTAAAGTGTGAATGGCTGTCTTTGTTTTAGGCTCATTATCTACCCTGGGTCATTCTGGTTTTTAACTTCATCATTGGAGGCTCGTGAGTGTCTCTTACATTTGTTGAGTCGTGAAGCGGTGAGTGTCTGACTCTTTGACTCTGTGCAGTTTTGTGAATGAGCTGACTGGAAACCTGGTGGGCCACCTCTACTTCTTCCTCATGTTCAAATACCCCGTGGACCTGGGAGGACGTGCCTTCCTCACCACACCAGAGTTCCTGTGAGTTTTGAATCGACAAACATCAAGAGATTTTAGTTTTTAAGTCAGATGTTCTGCTGGACAAGGAGTTAATTATCTAGTTTCAATTCAGCTGTTTTGTATAAATCAAACATCTCATTGCTGTTTCAGATGTTAGACTGTTCAGTTCATCATTTATCAGTAAATGTACTTGTTACAGTTAAGTAGTTTGGACTTTATAATGTGGGGTTCTGTGCAGATGTTGTGAACAGTCTAGTTCGAGGGGCAGTTTGTTTCAGTCGGTAGAGATATAAAACATCAATATGAGACGACATTGAGACATTAAAATAAACAAAAGTGCAGGTTTAAATTGACTGTCACTAATGCGCTGCTCAGTCAGTATTTTGAGACGCTTTGTGGTCTAAGTATTTTCATGCCTTCTTCTGATCATTGAAATCCACTCTTTTTTTTTTTTTTTTTTTTGATGGCCTCCCTTCTCCCCTTACAGCCATCCTCTCCACACCATTATTATGAAACATTTATTCTAGTGACTATCTAATGTAGTTTTTTTTTTTTTTTTTTTTTTTTTTAATAGCATAGAAAGAAAGAAAAGACAAAGTAAGACTCCAAAATATAAGAAATATACACAAAGAGAGCACACAGCAAAACACCTGGCCACTGTCTGTTTACCTGCAAAGAACATGACAAAACACAGCAACAAAATACATATTTATAAAGAACTTAAAATATTCATGGCTTTGCAGTAAGTTTCCATAAATATATATACCCATACCTACTCCTATATACATACATACATACATACACATGAATATACACTCACATACATATCTATATATCTACATATAAAGCCTACATAAGCATCCCTGCTTCTATTTGTGTGTGGTTGTGAGCATGCATAAGTGTATAAGGCTTCTCTAATAGAACATTTAATAGTAACTGTGAAGCAGCAGAGACCCGACCCCCAAGACCAGAGGCAGACAAAAAAAGGGGGGATCAGAGCCCAAGACCCCAGGAGGGACCCCGACCGCGTAGCCCCCAGGGCCACCCACACAGGACAAACCACTCGCCCACCCCCCAGAACGGACCACAGGGGGAGAGCCGGAAGAACCCCACCAGCGACCACATACAGTGACCCCCCCGGGGCCAACAGCGACAAACTCATAGGCCCCCGCCGGAACCCGCCGCACCGATGCAGGTCCAGGCTTGGGCACGGAGGCCCGGGCACCGAGGACCCACACCACCCAGGCCAAGGCCTGACAGGGCCAGAGGACCCGAGCCCCACCAGGCAGACACCAGGCCGAGCTGACACACGCCCAAGCGCCCAGCCCCCGACTCCAAGAGCCCCAAGCGCGCCGGCAGGCAAGGGCACACCCCACCAGGGGGCCGCGCGATAGGGGCGCGATGCCAAGCACCCCCAGTTGTATCAAAGAGGGGGCAGTCCTAGTCCCGGCCTAACAAATACCCATTCATACACAGACACAATCACACAATCCCAACCTCAATCTCACATTCACTCACTCAAAGACATACAATAACGATACATTTCATTCTTATTCCCGATACGCACTCTATACCCCCCAGGTCCAAGACATGTACCCGCCCTCTACAGGGGGCAGCCCATGCCCAAACCCAGGAGGTAAACCCATTCATTCTCGAGCGGAGAAGAGCCAATATCCCAGACCTGGCCCAGGCCACGCCCAGCCAACAGGACACCCCCCACCATGAAGAGGACACGCCACCGACCACCCCCACACACCGCCAACAACCAAGCACGCACCCCCAGCCGACCGCCCGCCAGGCCCCGGCAGCCACCTCGGCCAGCGGGCCAACCATGGCACCCAAGAGCCAAGCTCAGGGGGTCCAAACAACCCCAGGGAGAGCACAGCACCGCCCACGGCAACCCCCAGACCCCGAACCCCCACATAGTCCTGGTCAACACCCGACGGCCTGCCCTTCTCCCGGACTCCACCCCCGGAACGGCAGTTGGGGAACTGGGGGGGAGGAAAAATAATAATAATAATAAGACCCCGACACATACACCCCCGCCCCTAGATGTGCTGTTGATGTGTGTTGTTGTATAGTGCCATTAAAAAGGAAAGAAGAAGGAGCAAAGGCTGGCATGATGCCAATTTCCCCTCCACCCCAACTCTATCCAAACCCTAGTGTCTAAATGCAACCGTTGTGAGCACAGGCACAGGGGGTGAGAGTAAGGTCATCCCACCACCCATAGCCATGTGCCCACCTCAAGTTCCTATATATGAATGTCATGAGGATGTTATGAATGAATGTCTAAGGTGTACAATAAAATTGAGTCCCAGGTGGCTATGGTCAACAGAGATGTAAAATCGTTGCAGCACACCCGAGCCCAAACAACCCTAAATGTGTGGAATTGAAATGAAGAGGGTGGAGGTGCATGGTGAGGGATGGCGAGAAATAGCTGTGAGAGCAAATGCTCCCACAGGGAGTCACCTCCCCCACTGACCCAACAGCCCCCCCCCCCCCCCCCC